CTTTGGTATGACCAGAAGTAGGCCATGACCATTGGGCGAAAAATTACGCCGATTTAAGGTGTGGTACTTTAAGGTAAACATGCGAACAGAAGCGTCTTGCAGTGAAGATTCGAGCTGTTGTATTAGGCGACTGATATCCGGATCACGACGCTGCTCGTCCCCGAGATGAAGCAGCTGGGAGATGGAAAGGACGCAGCCCACAGAATCAGTGCTCGTAGGATCGCAGTCGGCCACAGGGTAGCGTGACAGACAATGCACGTCTTGGTGCAGTTTTCCTGGTTTATACACTACGGTGTAAGAATACTCTTGGAGGCGGAGTGCCTAGCGGGCGAGACGACCTGTGGGATCTTTGAGGTAGGTGAGCCAGCAAAGAGCGTGGTGGTCAGTGAGAACTATAAATGGCCGGCCGTATAAGTAAGGGCGAAATTTCGTGACTGCCCACACCAGCGTGATGAAATAATTACGCTCCGAGGGGGACAGCAGCCTGCTGGCATAAGCTATCACGCGATGCGGCCCACGTTGTCCCTGAGCCAACACAGCGCCCATTCCGTAACCACTGGCATCGGTGCGGACTTCGGTCGGTGCCGTAGGGCCGAAGTGAGCCAGGACAGGAGAAGAAGTGAGCAAAGTGGTCAGGTCGGAGAATGCTGCTGCTTGCGAGGGATCCCAGGTAAACGTCTCACCTGGTTTGAGTAAATCTGTTAGGGGCCGAGCGATTTCCGCAGTGTTCTTGATGAAAAGTCAAAAGTAGGAGCAGAGCCCCACAAAGCTGCGGACATCTTTAGCGGTTTTTGGCACAGGAAAGTCCTTTACAGCTCGAAATTTTTATGGGTCAGGCTGTACACCGTAAGCGTTAACAACATGTCCAAGTATTGTAATGTGACGGTGACCAAACCGGCACTTGGATGAATTCAGCTGAAGGCCGGCGAGACGGAATACATCAAGAATTTTCGAGTTTTTCAAGGTGCGCTTCAAAAGTGGGAGCAAACACAATCACGTCATCCAGATAATAAAGGCACGTAGACCACTTGAATCGATGGAGCAGGGAGTCCATCATTCGTTCAAAGGTGGCTGGGGCATTACATAAGCCGAAAGGCATGACTTTGAATTGGTAGAGGCCATCGGGTGTTACAAAAGCCGTCTTCTCTCGGTCCATGGGGTCCACGGCAATCTGCCAATAACCAGAACGAAGACCGATGGAAGAAATGTAGGCGGCACCATGGACGCAATCAAGGGCGTCGTCAATTAGGGGCAGAAGGTATGTGTCTTTCTTGGTGATGTCGTTACGGTGGCGATAGTCCACACAAAATCGCCACCATCCGTCCTTCTTTTTAACTAATAACACCGATGATGCCCAGGAACTGGAGGATGGTTCAGTAATGTCCTTCGCTAGCATCTTGTTCACCTCCTTCTGAATGATGCTCCACTCAAAGGCAGACACTCTGTAGGAACGGCGGTGAACAGGGTGTGCATCACCTGTGTGTATGCGATGCTGGAAAAAGGACGTCTGCCCTAGAGGTCGGTCACCAATATCAAAAATATCCTGGTAGGCTTCGAGAAGATGTTGTAGGGCGTCAACTTGTGGAGGCGGAGGATCAGTGGCGATCATGTCTACAATTCAACGGCTGCCCGAATGTGTTGCGAGTGGTGTGCGCTGCGGTGAAACAAGGGTGTCTAAGGCAAGCACTTTGATTTGTGGATCGAGCAACGGACACAGGTGGGCCACGAAATGCCTTGTGGAAGCACATGATTCATGTAGCCGAAATTTACAAGTGGTAGACAAGTTTTGTTTTCTGTGATGCTGAGCACCGTGTAGGGCACTGCAACATTGTGGGCAAGGAGTACGTCGATGAGAGGCGTAGCGTAATAGTCACCGTCGGGCACAGCTGGTGAGCACAGAAAATCGATGTACGTCACAGTTATGGAGGGCAGGTGAACAAAGTCGCTGCATTGTAACGGCATGTAGGTTGGTACGGGGCGTCACTGATTTGCGGCAGTTCAAGGCGGAGCACACCAGTGGAGCAAACATTCCGAGCAAAATTGGCGGCAAGAAAATCGAGGCCTAGTATGAGGTCGTGGGCACATGTTGCAAGCACGGTAAAAAGGACGACCACTTGATGACCGGCTACGGTAAGTTGAGCTGTGCACATACCGACGACAGGGACTGTTGCGCCATCAGCAACTTGGACGACACTGGTCAAGGGGGGTGTGAGGACCTTCTTCATGCGACGACGAAAACGCGAACTCATAATAGAGACGTGAGCGCCCGTATCAATCAAAGCTTCAACAAGTGTGCCATCAAAATATACTTCAAGGGTGTTCCGGTTGAAACGTGAGGGCGACAGAGGATTTTCGGGACAGGTCTGCAGGGCAGCTTCACTTCCAGAAGCGGCGCAGCCTAGTTTTCCGGGGACATGCGGCAGTTAAACGATGGCGAGCGAGAGCGGTGACGCGTATTTGAGCGAGAAGGGCGGCTTTGAGGCGGCGGTGACGACGGGACAGGGTGGCCGTAGTCCTCAGGGGCAGTAAAGGCTGTATACTCAGTGCGAGTCGGATAACGGTGGTTTGGTGGACGGAATGAGTTACTGTAGGTGGGGTATGAGCCAGAAGACATAGATGGCCACTGGCTGCGGCAGTAACGAGCGATGTGTCCCACGCGACCACAGCGGAAGCAGATTGGCTTTTCATCAGCTGTTCGCCATTTAGGCGGGTTTCTGGTTTAAATAGAGTACGGATGGCGACGTCTCATGTCCACAGAAGCTATCGAGGGATCAGCATTATCCAAGGTGGGTGCAGTGGACAGGATACCCAGGTTAGCGAATTCCTGGCGGACAACAGCCTGGATCAAGGAGACAGCTGGCGTTGAGGCGTCGGGCGACGTCGGTTTATTGGCAGCCGGGTAAGCGGCCTCGAGCTCACATCGGACGATGCGCGTCACGTCTTCGGTTGTAGACGGATGACAAGGAGTGGCTTCGCAAGACGACGTTGCCGCGGTGTTGGGTAGGCGCTGGAACTGCTGCGAAATGCGGCGATTCTTCGCCTGCTCGAGACGGTGGCACTCTTTGATCACGCTGTCGACGGTCGTTACGTTCGTAAATACAAGCAGGCTGAACGCATCGTTAGCGATTTCTTTTAAAACTTGCGAAATCTTGTCGGCCTCAGTCATGTTGGAATCGGCCCTTTGACACAACGCTAAGACGTCTTGAATATAAGTCAAGTAGGGCTCAGTGGACGTCTGTGTACGTACGGCGAATTGCTTTCGGGCATCAAGCTGTTGACGAAACGGGTTGCCAAAGAGGTTGCAGAGCTGTTGTTTAAACATTTCCTAGCTTGTGATTTCGTGCTCATGGGCCTCAAACCTGATGCGAGGGTCTTGTCAAGATAGAAAAATGACATTCGCAAGCATAACAGTTGGGTCCCAGCCATATTGCTTGCTGACGCGCTCGTACATACTCAACCACTTGCCCACATTCGCGTTGTCCTCTTCAGTAAAGGTACCGGGATCACGGGGTTGCGTAAGGCGATGTACCGGGTTGCTGTCGTTGCCGAGGTAGGTGGCGAAGCCGTATCCTCACCCGGAGCCATGGTAGCAGACTTAAGGAGGCATCCACTGCGTAGCTTCGTTGTCAAAAGAGTACCCAGCACTTCCACCAAAATGTTGCGTGGAAAATAACAGTAGTCAGTCCGCAGCCACAACGCAGCTCACCGACAACGTCCACTTATTCACCCTCAGTCTGAGGCACCTTTTCTTGGGTATTTCCTACTATGCCCTGTCTCAGTCAGCCGAAATCACGTAACAATATAAACAGCAGCCATTCCCACCAAATTATAACGACTACTGAAATAATTAAATATTGAAATAGTTCAAGCCACCTATGCAGAAGCTCAGGGCTAGTAAAAATAAATTATATAGTACAGAATTAATCACAGTGAATTTTTATACACTTGCGTTGTCCAGCAAAAGATAAATGCTATTCAGAAATGTGTTATGTAAATCAAGAGAGGTTTTAGATTCACAGAAACAGTGTATGCATTATGCTTCAATTTTCGTATTTGGATTCTGATGCCACACGTAATTGAGCCTCAGAAGGTGCCAAGTGAAATGAGATCAAAGTATTTTTGCGTATGGATAGCTAGTGACACTTTGCGTATTTAATCTGGTTCATTCCCGAATCCCTAACTTGAAATACTTGGTGGGAACTACGCTAAATATACGACAGAATGTCTTCTTTTTCAAGGAAAGTGCTTATGTACGTAACAATAATGCATGGATACCATATTCATTATCACACTATACAAAGATAGCATAGGTGATACTATTTGCTAGCGTGTGGGCTTATGTGTTCAGGATAACTGCTCAAACCAGCTAAAAAAAGTATGCGTGCTCACGCGCAATGGTTATGAAGTTGTTAGGGTGCCTTAGGGCTGACTCGAAAATCACGTTATTGAGTCCTGGCAGAGCCGGCAGTATTTTCGTCTCCACCGAAAATCCCATCGGCTCAACCAAAAGTGCTCAAGGCCCATGTACTGAGATTTGGCTGCATGTTGGAGAGCCCCAGGCCAGGAGGTTGAAAATTCCGGAGCACCCCACTGCAGCATTCCTAGAAGTCCGAAGTTTATTAGCACTTATTGGAAGTTTATTAGAAGTTTATTATCAACAAGACATGAGGCATGCATAGTCATGATGCCGGAGCAAAGGGCAAGATAATACACGTCTGACTAGGTTCCGGCAGCACCACGAGTTCCACAGGCAACAGCGGACAAACTGCAAGAATGAAAACACCTACACACCCTGGCATAGTGTACATGATTGGGCTTCAACATAAACGACAACTATAATTGTACTTGTTCCATACAACGTAACATCATCAATAACCCGAGTCATAAAGTGTTCTTTTGGGATGTTAGACCCAAACTGGTATCACTATTTAAAACACGCCCGAATCAACAATTAAACTCGCATTTGTCATTCCTGTGTCGCAAACGCGAAGGCTGGCTGGTGCGCCTTCATCCTGCTCTGGATGGCCTTCTACTGGTCGGTGGAGGCCTGTCCTCTGGCTGCCACATCACTCATGCCTGTGTTCCTGTTTCCACTCTTAGGAATCCTGTCATCCACTAGCGTGGCTAGTTTTTACCTCAATGTAAGTGCTAACAGGCACGTGAGAAGCATGTGTCTTTTCATATTTATTACCCACCACTTTCGACTGTAATGAAAGTTGAAGCTGTTTAAATTTCCAACTCGTGTAACATATTGTCCTCCTGGACGTAAAATAGTAAGCCTTTTAATTAAAAAGAAATAGAAAATTCTCGTATCCAGCAAGACAAATATGTGCTATGCTAAGTTTTCACATGCATTGCAGTTAGAAATTATAGCGCCCTCGTGTGTGAAACTACGAAAATCTCTTTTTCATTTCATACTCAAGTACGAAGAGTTTATGGGTAAGAATATGAAATATAGTTCTTGTACAAGCAAGCGAATTCCGTGTAAATATAGTTATCGCATATTTATTGCCCTGCGTTCAAATAAGATGAATGCTGACTGCTTTCTATAACATGGCAATACGTGGTTCGAGTAGTATCTCCTACTAATACGCGGATACCAGATTGGTAAAATAAAAATTTTTACCGCACTTATCAGAAGTTGTGTACTTTTCAGTATTATAGTAAATGTACATACAAGCACATATGTGATTGATAGACCAACTTGGCTTGTGTGGGTGTCTAGGGAAATTTTGTAACTGATGTTATCCAAATATTCCATAGTTAGACCGATTTATGGTCCATTTTGAAGAAAGACTGTAAGAGCCTACGCAGTTTTCTTCGCTTTTGATATTCGTCAAAATGATAATAGAAGACTGTTGCTTGGAAGTGTCTGTGCAACTTCGTATATAAGCACTTTACAAAAAACATGCCTTCTTTTGTGTGTTGAACTCGAAAAAAAAAGGGATGCCATTGCGAGTTCAAAACGATATCTACAAAGTTATTTTATCACACAGTTCTTATGAATGCACCATCACTTTCCTTGCCCCTCTGTGAATTTCACTTCATGCAGGATATTGGAATATTGTTGCTTTGCTCTCTAATCATGGCTGGAGCGGTGGAAACAAGCAACCTGCACAAGAGAATAGCCCTCAGGTCTTTACTCGCCATAGGAACAAGTAATCTCAGGTAAGATTGCCACAGAGAAAATGACCCGTTATTTTTGTTTATATTACCATAGGCCAAACAGAATATTTTTAGGTACATACCGCTATGCGTAGAGTAATTTTCGAAAAACATCTAAAAGTTCTTTTTAATTTACTAAACAAAATAACGCTTGTTGTCCTTTCAATGCAACATCATTAAAGTAAAACTGGACTAAATCGTTTTTATGCTTAAAAAAGAGAATGTGAGAACGTAGTCACTCAATGTTAAATATTTTGAAAGAATAGTATGCATTTATCAACAAGAGCTTAATATGGGCCTAACATAGCACGCTTACTCATTCACTTTACTCTTTTGATTACGTCATTCCACGGTGTATATCACAAAGGAAAGTCAAGAAAAATGTGAGTAGTACAATGGCTATTAGTGCCCCGTCATAGAGGAAGTTCTAGTTGGGTCGAGAATGGCTGATGGGCTGGTGACATGGACGATCTTTTTTTATATATTCATATTTACTACGTGCCCAACAGAGAAATGAATATTTTTACCTTTGAGGAGAACTTATAAGCGTGGGGCAGCCGTAGGTGCGTTCGTTCACACGTTTTTTTACTTTCTTTTGGTATTACTTTTCTCTAGGCTTCTCCTTGGCTTCATGGTAGTCACCATGGTACTATCCATGTGGATTCCCAACACTGCATCAACGTCCATCATGGCACCCATAGCCATAGCCGTTGTGGACCAGATGCACGCCTCGGCTAAGTCTCATTGCAGGGACGTAGAAAGTAAGTGGTCATCGCCGGCGAGTATTATGCGTGCTTTGTGCTACACGCGGTAACAATCATGTGTTCAAATGGAAAAAAAATGAAGGCTTTATGCAAGTGAGCAAGTGCGAGTTTTTTTAAGACAGCTGGTCCTGGAATGAGAGTTCAATAAAGCCATCGCTTTCAGTTCTGCGGAACTTGGTAAAACCCAGATGAATAGAAGGATCTGATGCGTTAATCAACGGCTTATGTTTGATCATACAAGCCAGGTTGCAGACATTCTTAACTCTGTGGAGGCACTATTGATAATGTTCTTTTGTCAAAAATTAAACAGACCCATGAGAGTACTTTCTTTTACTTACTTGGACAACACTTACAAAAATGCACATGCGTGTTACTAGAATGCAACCAAAGTTTTATAGCTAAAAGTCGTCTTGGACAATATGGGATGTTTCTATAGGTAAGGTGTGGTAAGTGACAAGAAATATTTAATTAGCAAATTGGTAAATCGATACTATTGCTGCTACTTTTCGCAGCTTCCAACCAAAAGGCACTTTTTCTCCACAGAATTCTAAACACTATGCCAACTATATGGGCAAAAATTTGATGTCATTGGTGCAGCATATCACCAAAGGCACCTCTTCGTATACCTTGTCTAAAACTGTCACGTAGTCATGAATGCCTAGTTATACCACTAGCGAATGATCTTACATTGCAGAGGGCAGTGTGGTAAGATCAGTTGAGGAAGTGGTTCAAAGCTGTAAATGAAGCAGCCGAAAAACAAAACACACGAAATATTCACAGTTCTAGATTAAAGGGTATGAATTACCAATAAGTCGTTTTAAAGCACAATTATTTTCAATTTCCTTTACACTGAACCGGCTTTTTCGTTCGGGCACAAGATATATCACATCGATAGTTTCTTAAGACGCGGTGGTGTTCCAGCTCCCATGTTTTGCAGGATTTATTCAGAAATATATTTTTTTTCTATTTCTGTGGAGACAGAGTTAATAGTTCACTCACATGTTGCAGGTGCCGACCTACAGTCTATAACAAAGAGGCGGGAGTCAGTTTGCAAAGCAAACGAGAAAGCGAGCCGCAAGGATTCGTCTACTGCTTCTGACTCTGAGTAAGCCTTGTGCGAACTACAAAATTATCATGTTTTACCTGTCTTGTATGCTGATCTATCCAACTGCTGTATTTTACCCTGGCGGATCAAAGTTTTGCAGTCGTCGTTAGTAACCTTTTATGATACTGTGAAAGTAACACAGAGAAACAATACATACATTCCCCGAATTCATTGTACTTATTGCCTTCTCATATATAGACTTCTAGACAGCAATTTCTTCTTGGCAGTACTTGCAGTGTGAGCACTGCACTAGACTATTTCTTAACCTTCCACATTTCGGCACTTACTTATGAAAAATGTATCAGCGTTCCAAGTAAACGTCGAGATGCAGCTCCGGTCAACGCCCAATGAAAGAGCAACAAAATAACACGAGTGCGAGTACATGTCACCTATTCAATATATAGGAGAACTGTGAGTGCTGTAGAAAACAGCGCGAGTTTGTAAAATGGGGGCTTTTTTCAACGCCTGTAATTTTCACAGCTGTAATGGTCTTGAAACTAGGCTGACAGTATTAGTTAGTGAAAACAAAAGAAATGAAAAAAAAACCGCAACGCCAAATTTTAAAGCCTCTAATACAACAGACTTTAAAGGCCAATTTTTTACTCCGATAATGAAGCGGCTTCTTTAAGCTGAGGGGTTAACATGGCAATGACTGCGCAAAAAAGGTTATATTAGAGCGAATCTCTCAGGCCTTGGTTCCTGCGTGGAGAATCGTACCTTGTTGGCTATCGCCCTAGCTTGTCTCCCTCGATAGCTATAGCGCGAGAACAGAACAACGACACAGAGGCAGGAAGGACACAAAGGACACTTCCTGTCTCTGTGTCGTCGTTCTGTTCTCGCGCTATAGAAATCGTCATGTCATACCAACTAGCCCAAGCTGCCACACTTCTAAATTGTCTCCCTCACCTTGAGCTGCGCGACGCTCCTTTTCTGATGTCATCGCTGGCTGGAACATTTTGAACATTCCCTGCTTGCACAGATAGCAAATGTAAATAACAAGAAAGAACAAACAAAAGATTAAAGAAAAAAAAAGAAAAAGTTTTATAAATGTATCTACGGCTCGTGCCACCGAAGCACACATTAAAAAATAAAATGGTATTGCAACCGAACTTCAAATAAATGTAGCGAAAATTTCTGAAGTATTTAGGAGAAGAATTAAAGCAAAACTAGGCAGCAGTTTTTTGAAAAAGTTCTGCTGCCCTTGGCAAATAAACTTGTATAGACTTAACTATTTCGAATTACGGCGTCCCTACTCATTCGCCTAAAAAACTCCCAAGCATTTCCCCGAGGGTGAACATGGTTAAGTGCGAATACGCGGGGTGATGCTATGAGGGGTATTTATTAATTCGCACTATTATATTTATTATTCACGCTATGGTGCCTTTATGGTGTAATGGTTCCTGGGAATCGCAATTTGATCACACGGGGGAGTTTACGTTAACTCACTGGCGAATGCCAACAGATTTTAACTTTACTCCCCCTCACGACCCGCTCTCGACGGGAGACTGAGAGAGAAGGCGGGCGCGCGAGAGAGGGAGTGCACGCTCAGCTGCAGCGAGCGAGGAGAGCGGAGGAGCGACACCGATATCAGCGTCGCGTCCGTGGCTTATTCGGTAGAGCGTCGCGCTGCGGCCCGCCAAGTCCTCTTTCTTTTAAAGATAGAGAGAAGACTGCGGACGCCGCCGACGGTGGTGGATGGTTTGGGGTCACTTATAAAGTGTATTCACACTTAAAAGTGTATCCTTTAACTACGAGCGCAAGCACGTGCTTCGAGCATTTTTAGATGCGGAGCATCTTATACTCGCGCCTTGTAGTGCGCCGTCCTCGTCGTCCGCGCCGTCCACACCGCTTCTCGAACATTCGACAGCTGACGCGCGCGCATGCGCCGTCGCGCCGTCGCCCACTCTTCCACCATCTGTGCATCCCTTCCTCCTCTACACACCGCGCGCGCTTCACTCCTCCACCATCTGTGCACCCTTCCTCCTCTACACACCGCGTTCGACATCTACAATTCTCCTGATTCTCCAGTGGACGCGCATGTGGCGTCGCGCTTCGAGAACATTCAACAGCTGACAGTGCATGCGCCGTCGTGCTGTATATACTCAAGGTCGGCGCTCGCTCGCTCAGTTGCCGCTCGTCGGTTGGTTTGTACGGCGCGTCGACGTCCAAGGTCGCGGTGAAATGAATTCCAACGAATCCACAAACACAATGACCGACGTCCCTTCGACCAGCGCCGCCCTTTCGCATACGTGTGTACGTGTTCACTCATTTAACACCCCCTCCTACAACCACGTTAACCAATTTAGCCATGGACCCAAGTAAGTCGCAATTTAACACCCCATTTCACAACCACGTTAACCAATTTAGCCATCGACCCAAGTAAGTCGCACATTAACACCCCGTTAACCAATTATATGGTCCGCATCCTCCTCAGTGTTCTCCCGAGGGAAGCTGCGGGCAATTTTTTTCACTTTCGTCATAACTGGCACACAGGAAGCTACACAACCGTTCGGAGAAGGAGGGGGGAGGAGGAGGATGTGATGTTGAGAAATCCTATTTGATCACAACTAGTCTGCAGTTCTGAATTACGGTGTTCTCACGATAATAACAGTTTTACTCGAGAGTTGGATTCATATACGGAAACGCAGCTATTCCAGAGCTTCAGGCAAGTGTCCGGGAAATCTAAAATCCAGCAGCTTATAAGATATGCTGCACAAATCTAAAACCAGAACAACTTAAAAAAAAGAGTGACTATAGCCTTGCCGGAGCTTGATGGCCACGTTTATCAGTATTACGTTATCTCTTGCTGTTTTCAACGAATCTTGCCAGAATTAGCTCTCAAGAAAGGTATGATCCTTCGCCCTTTCAGGGAGAACTGCAGGCAGAAGGTAGTTCGTACGACCATGCTGCTTTCCGTCGCGTATTCGGCGAATATCGGAGGTACTGGATCTCTCATCGGCACAGGGTCCAATCTCGTACTCAAGGGCCTCATGGACGAGTAAGTGAAACATGGTACATTATCTACATTGAAAATCGTCCCAAGTTCAAATAATTCTGATCGTAGCCACTATTTTTCTGTAACAATATTATCTTGGCTGACTGGTAAGTTTCACTCTAGTAGAATTCTTAAGTTCAGCGCTTGTCTCGTGTTCTTTGCGTTCACGATCATTTTCGGGCAACAACCAAAAACTTCTTTCTTGCATCACTAATGATCATTACGGCAACCTTAAGCCAAATAGGCTCCAAGGTATTTCAAGTGAGATTAGATGACAAATTTTATTAAGAGTAAAAATGTTCTTGAGAAATGCAGACGTAGGGTTTTTCTTTTTTCTAGAAGTGGTTGCTTGAAATCAACCGCGCAAGTCAATCAAATAAATAGGTCAATAAATAGTGAAAGGACTAAAATCTGTTGTTTTTTTTAACTTCCAGCCTGTTCCCAGATTGTACCGAGTTGACCTTTGCGACGTGGATGCTCTATAACGTGCCGACCATGCTGATTTGCGTTTTCATCGGGTGGATCTACCTGCAATTTTCTGCGAGGAAAGCAATGTAGGAAATGACATGTTTCACGCATTTGCTTCGCCTATATTTCTGAATGTAGTGTCACACCGCAAATCACGTGCATGAAAATAAATTAAGCACTAATCAATTTCATGGCCTAAAACGCTACGCCGTTTTTACGTAATACTACAGACACCGCGTGAAAACAGTCAAGATGATATGCAAGGTAAATATCGGTACGGCTTTAATATGACTATAGTTGTCAACTTCAGGAGTACTTGCGAAGATTTGTCACTCTTAGGATGCGCGATATGCCACTACATTTTATATAACATTGATACTATGTGAGTATATAGTCAATTACTGTTTAATTTAGTAGCTCTAGTAGCGCCCTCAGCCAAATTGTTTTTTTTTGTTTTTTTTACTAAGCTTATCAAATAATACTTGTTACCTTCACGGGAGGATATATAGTGATGCTGTCATATTGAGAGCAAATGCCAATAACTAACTGCGCAAACATGGGGAAAAAAAGTTACGAACGATGCGTTCAGATTTTATTTAAATCTTGTCCCGTTCTCACGCAACTCATGTGTGCTTTAAGGTGTGACAGGTCATCCAGAAGAACATGCCACTGGCTATATTCCCGCGTATGCGTGATTGGTTTATGGCAGTTTCACTATAGACAACGAGCTTTGCATAATATTACACATGTTACATTCACAGTCAGTAGGAGGTATAATACGTTCAAGTGATGTTAAAATTACATGTTCACTAAAACGTAGGAAGAGAGAAAGGTTGACGAAGTGATGAGCCGGACACGCACAAAATACGGGAATGTAAACTTCTGCTGCTTTACTGGCGCTGCCCAAGATACTTGTTTTTCCTTTGCGTTCAAACGAGCGAATATAGGTTTCTGTTAGCTCAGATGAGTGAGTGTTGCTCTCTGAATATTGAAATATGTTTGCCACAATTAAAAACCTATCAGGTAAATAGTTTGGGGGTACATCAAACAAACTGGTCGGTTAGGTTTTGTACACTACGGGGTTGAATCAGTGAAATAAATTTGTAGAGAGCAGGCCCTTAATCTTTAGCAGTGTGACGAATGCAGTTTAATGTCAGTGAAGTGTGATTCGAGTGACATTAAACTGACTCAAGGTCATGTTGCGGAATTGTGCTACACAGGAGAGGCCCCTCATCAGGTGCGTCGGAAGAAAAAGTTCGTGAGGAAATTTCTCGGAGGTACCGTGCCCTGGGTCCTATGAGGCAAGTACTCATGACATTGCCAGTTGCTCCTGTCGCAATACTTTCGGCTGTTTCTGTGCATAGATTGCATTTGTGGAAAATTTGTCCTTTGGCTGAATCCATACTTTAAGTGCCCGCACGCTGAAGGTATCACATGGGTGTGTGCATGTGCACGTATGTTCACATATGTGCCAGAGCGCATGTGTCGATGTGTCTGTGCGACTGCACACTATAAGGCGAAAGGGTGTGGTGTTCGTTTTTTGAGAGACTAATGAACCTGCCCCAAACATTAATCTCTTTAATGGTTAACTGCGACCGTTATAACATTTATTCCTCATGCTACTCTAACAAGCTAACTTTTATTCTCTACAGACCGTCACCTCACGATACTATTATTTAGTACTGGCATTTACACCATACCGGACAACAGCTAGTTCCCTGCTTACCTCACTGGTTGATCGGTTGGTTGGAATAAATATTTCATGCCGATGATCTTTTTATCCAGAGTTCCGATGATCTGTTAATCTATAGAGATAATCTTCTACAGTTACTCTCGGTAAGTGCGCATACTTTTCTCTGGCGATTTTTTCTAATGTGAGCAACAAATAGAGCGGAAAAAGAACACACGAAAAAAATTCATGCGTGCTGCTTCAGTCGATGCTACAACGAAAGGCAATAGTGAGTCAATTTCATCTTTTATGTTTATATACATAGGTTTCTGCTTACTTTTTGTGAACTAATTCTCAAATACAGGTCAATTCACGTTTTCATATCTCTTAGAGTCCTGTTCTCGAAGCTGCCGCAGAAGAAGGAAGATATGATGGGCATTACATGCGCTAGCACACGAAACAGTGGGACCGTTGTGGACAACGACTGCGTCCTGCAAAACAAAAAAAAAAAACAAAAAAGGTTGTAAAAAGCGACAAGTTACCGAAAGAATGAAGATGATCGTGTATGGATTGTACGTGAAAGATGAAATGAAAACACACGGAAAAAATGTGGCATGCAAATAACTTTTTTGTGTGTGATGTCGTACATAATCGCAGACGCCTTTCGAGCGACAATTGCTGAAAACCTGAACTGTTGCAGCCGAAGCCATCCCATCTAATCTCTGCCTACATGTCAGCAAATTTTCCGCGAGCGGTGTCGTAGATCCCGAGCAAGTCTACCAGCCGCTGCTGCCAACGAGCGGCAAACATCGAGCGAGCAGCCGGAGAGGAAACAAATGAGGGGCCGATTATATAAACAGCGGCGAAGTGTTAACAGACGAGGGACGAGGAAGCCTATACGGTTATGGCGAGAACTTCACACAGAGTTTGGAAGCACAGCTAAAGTTGGCAAGGTGAAGCTACCGTCAGCCCATGCTGATGCATTTGAAATGCGTGACATACGACTGAGCTCGTTTCTGGCCACCACCATATTTTTTGAACGCGTCACAGCAATGTGGCGAGTCCACCGTTCAATATCGCGAACTCAGCGCTCACCACAACAGTGAACCCTCTTCGAGCCAGTGAAAGGGAGGCTGGCGGTAATGGCTACCAATTCAAAAGTGGTGACAAAGCAAAGTCGAGCTGACGCCCAAGCTGTTCCCCCACCGCAGTGGTCTATTGGCTAAGGTACTCAGCTACTGACCCGCAGGTCGCGGGATGGAATCCCGACTATGGCGGCTGCGCACAAAATTTTTGTGTGTGAGAAAACATGCGCAATAACACCTTTTCCTGCAAAGCAAGCATGTGTCCGGAGGTTCATGCTGCCTGAATTAGAAATAACTCCTCGCACGGTTATAACCTCCTCGTTGTGACTGCATTTGTTACTATACTACGCTCTAGCTTTCCAAAATATTATGCAGCATTTTGTGAGAAAAGGGCACCTTGAGGACTGGTTGGAACACGCAGAAAGCGATGGCATCGGCAAGAATGCCTGTACGGCGGCCCGGCATCTCGAACCGGCAATGAATGCAGATGGGCGCCGTAGCCCGCAATCCTTTGCGTGCGCCACTATTTTGCTATCCGCCTATTAGGGAAAGCAGGAAGCAAACAAAAAGGGAGAAAACAAGGAGGTTGACCAGAAAGACTTCCGGTTGGCTACCCCACACTGGGGGATATGAGCAGAGGAATTGGGAAGACTTATCGACAGTGAGTGGGAACAGTGAGGAGGACGGCTTGTTCGTTTCACAGTGTTTTGAGCACTGGGCATATCTTTTCACAGGGTCAGCATTTCCCTGTTTGTATGGCTTGCAAACCAGTTTGTCTCATTTGCACATGGCACGCATTTCTTTGGGGTTGCTCCTTCTAGAATTTTTTCATTTATCGCGCGTGCCTAACTGACTCTGTTTCCCCTTTTCCGGGTAATTTTTCCCGAAAGTGTGTTGCACTGCTTTGGATGTATTGAGCGCTTTGAACTATTCATTAGTTCGTGTCTGTATTGTAATGAATGCTCTTACCTGCAACTTTGTTTTAATTCACTAGAAAAGTGAAGTGTTGTGGAGAGAAAACACAAATGCGCAAACACTTAAACTACGGATCTTGTGTAATGCTTGAACTTTGCGCCTTTGATCACAGCTTTTCAGAATGGTGCGTTACATTTCTGATGACATCAATGATTCTTCTCTGGTTCACCATGAAGCCCCAGGTGTTCCCCGGCTGGGTGGAAATGATACCTAACGGAAAGTAAGTGCGCATGTGGTGGGAACGTAGCAGTTTTCTTCGCATGTCAGTGTTTCTGACATTCGCATGTCAGTGTTAAACTTTTTTTTCGGGTGTAAAAGAAATGTTCTAAGCACTCGCCACTTCAGTTTGTATTCAGAGAAACTAGAATTCTTGACACGCAGATGCAGGGTGATTTAGAGAATGTGCACTTCGATATCCGCCTTTAAACACTATAACTTCCACGGTACATTTATTTCAGTCGCTCGCTAATCGAGGGCTTATGGGCATATAACACAATAAGCTTGTATTACCTCAAAAATAGTTTGGCAACGTAGCCTCCACAACACTGAGAAAATTCTGGTATCCGCCTATCTTCAATAATCAACGCACCTTTTTTATGTGCAGACAAAGGCACGTTTTTTTAAACAAACATACTTTTTCTTTGTGCACGCACTGAAGATCTGAACTGCCGTATTTGTTTACGATACGATGGGGTGTTGATCTCCGTCACTCGTTTGTACACCAATAATTTTTTAGAGAAAAAAGCGTGCTTTTCGGCTTTATTGCAAGTGCTTAATCTGCGTGTACATTATTTCATTAAGAAGTTCTGGAGTTTGCCCAGCCGCACATAATTGCCGTGCTGGTTAGGGTTGTAAATCAGTGTGTTACGTGCTAGGAAACTTTCTTAAATACAAGGTTTGTCATTATGAGGACTTGCTAACAACGTATGTTGGCGCAGGTTATCATTAGCATTTAGCCCACAGGATTAAATCGGCTACTAATATACAATAGATGAATCGGCTACTATTATGCAATATCAATAGCACAAGTCGTGGCCTGCAACTATGCTAACGACAATGATTCTACCTTTTTAGCAGGTCGCCACTTGTGCAACTGTTCTCGGTAAAGCAAACATCACCAAGGTCTATTGTGCGTTCAGAAAAATCTCTAGAAATCTCAAGAAAAAAATCTTGAGTGCCATCACAGGCATGTTATTTTTCATTGTTTATCATCACTAATTCATCTCTATCTCTCTCGTTTCCAACCGTATCTTTTGTTACCAAGCATAGCGTGGCAAACCCCAGAACTTGTTAATCCCCCCTCCTCTTCCCCTACCTGCTTCTTTTAATCTCTCCCCCCCCCTTTTTTTTGTGTGCATGCAGACTCATTAGGTCATCCACTCCCTCCATGTTGGTGACGTTCCTGCTGTTCGTGATTCCCAAGTACCCCCGAAAGCCCGGTGGCCGAGCCATCATCACGTGGAAGGAGGCCAGCGAGCGCGCTCAGTGGGGGATCGTGATTCTCATCGGAGGTGCCATGTGTCTCGCAGAGGGCTGCAAGGTATTCGCCCAGAGGTGTCTGAGTGGCGCACTCTCGCCTTAGACGCAATAGTATTGAGAAATAACAGACAACAGTGCCGAGCAAAGTATACGGGTATACGTTAGTAGTGTTAAATTTAATGTAAACGTGAAGAAAGAAAAGTGTACAAAAAGAATTTGCCGAGAGCAGCGACCGAACCTGGGAACTTATAATAACGCGTTCGATACTCTAACAACTTATACCGCACCGGCTATCCTCCTGTCCACTTTATGAGGTATACACGTACATGCATTCAAACTTGGGAATCGTCGGTCAGCGGCGCCAGTAGCCATGACGGCAAGTCTGGAACACTCTTCCTTGCCTGCTGTCGTCACGTAGCATGTGATTTCACTACGGGTAGGCAGGTTACTGATAATCACTCGCGTACTACTTTTGTATTCCATTCATATTACAGCATTTAGATTTCGATTTGCTACTACATATACACTACTGCACTTGCATACTATAATTGTACACTAGATACTACTAGTGTACTAGATTAAATATACTACTAGAAATATGCCCTATACTTTCATTGGCGCTGTTTTCTATTACTTATAACTGTGTGTTTAAAAAATGAATCCTTCAAATTCCACCCTCCTTCGTACTCTCGCGTGTGACGTCAGAGGGAGGATTCGGGTGACGCTCTTCCCGAGCGCACTCGCTACTTGAAGGCTGCGCGATGCTGCCTTCAATATGCTGTTCGAGTTATTGAAACATTTGTAGGCGCATGCATTAAGTGATTTGTACTGAATGTTCAAGCAAAATACCCGGTGAAATCACGTAGAGTTGCGTCTGGAAGCACGTTTAGTATCTATTTCTCCTTTTATATCCCCATTTATGGCGAGAGTTTCTTTTAGTTGCTGTTATGACACTGTGTCACACTCAAAATGACTTTTCAGCAAGTTGTAGATCAATGCCTTCCGCTTTGGGGCTTCGACTTCCGTGTCTGTTTTTCAGCCCAATGTATACGTGTACCACGCGCTGCACGTGTTTGGTTGCCAAGCCTGCTCCTTAGGTTCAGTTTCATTGTTCCGAGTCTTAAGCACATGGCGTCACGGACTTATTCTTTGGCGTTACAAACTCATAGAGAATTACTGTTCGATGTTATACTATATCGCATTACGTTGACGAGGTGTGTCATCAGCAACGGAAGAACAAGAAGTCTTACTGTAGAAAAATTCGTTCGTGTAGCGAACCTTCTTTGGTCAATGTGAATCATTTTCCAACTTTCCTCGTATACTGTGAATCGATCTTTATTTTACCAGTGGAGCTCTTTAAGCCGGAAGTAATTTCTGTAGAATTCACCTAAATGTCATCATTGTGAACGGGTACGCGCCCTCGTCGTTCGTATCTTTATCACCTGCTTCAGTTCACGTGCGCTGATCTCCCCGGCGGGAAATACAATAACTTTGGTGGGCGACAGGACAAATACAACGAGGGAAAAAATACGGAAAGAAATATATAGAAATAAAGAGAAGAAAGTGAGTTAGAAGGCGAAAGAACGAGTTCAGAAAGAGACAAAAAAAATAATGAAGAGTCAAATAGGATGGAGGAAAAAAACAAACATAAAAAAGTTCAGAAACCTGGTAGAAAGACATAAATGAAAGGGAGAGAAAGTTATAGAAACATAGAAAAGGGAAAAGAGAGAAAACGGTCCAAAGAAAGAAAAAGGAATAGACCGGGAGAGATTGACGTAGAAAAAAGCACACGAAGAGATACATACAACAAAGAGAGACAGAAAGCATAGCCATGTACAGTGTATAGTAGAGCAAAGGGTGACAAAAGAAAGTGTGGCTAGAAGGGAAATGAGTTGGTGAGAGAAAGTATAGCATATTGCTGTATAGTATAGCAGAGAATCGCAAAGAGAAGGGAGGGTGAAAAGGGGGAAAAAGGATAAGGCAACGCGTGCAGATCCGCTGCTTTCTCAGCCCTCGCATTTCAAGTGCGTCAGCTGCGCATATTTATTATCATTAATTTACATCGCGTATTGACGCTGCGAAAAAAAAATTAACATGGCCTTGTTCTCCCCAAAACCAAGCGATTCCATTATTTTTCATGACATACGTGAGCAATATCACTGCCTTGCTGTCCATCGTGTATATTTGCTTGTCACAGTAGTACGGTTTTTCGCTGACCCCTTTGCAAGCACATTTGAGCTGCTGATTCCACTGAGCCTTAGTAACGCAACTCCTGCTTACGCTGTAAATAGACGCATATAAACTATAAATGTCAATTTCTTGCTTAATGTTGCTATCAGAGCCAAAACAACGACGTCCACTACCAACACGAATACGAACGGTGATGTCGACAAGCTGGTTTACATACATCTTACGGAACATACTGCGCAATCTAGTGAATGCCGAAATGAAGACAACACAGTGAAGGAGAGAAGGCATTCACTTTTGCGTTTCTTCCTTCACTGCTCGATCTCTTTTTCAGTACGTACACGCTTGCACTGTAAAATGCAACAACACCCATGTTTAATTGCCTATTTGAACCACAGGAATAACTGATATGGCTTCTAGAATACGTCCACAGTAAAATCTCTTTTCAATTGCTTTGTCCTAGCAATCAGGCCTGTCTGCAATGTTGGTGCACCACCTTAAGGCCCTTGACGCACTTCCTCACGGGCTTACAGTCCTCGTCTTGTGCTTCATCACTTCACTGCTCACCGAAGTGACGACCAACATGGCCGTCAGTTCCATACTCTTGCCTGTCGTCCTCGAAATGGTAAGCACTGCGGAGCCAGATTCTCTGTATTGATGAAGCTAGGCACGTAGTTTATCCAAAGCCCAACAACCCTTGTATACCAGGCTAGAAAATGAACTGCTTCCGTAACGCTGCACAACACGTGTGAACGCTTTCAGTGTGTTCTCCTGCCGGCAATTTCTTTGGTTTCCTTTAACGGAGAGGGTAAGCAGGCTACTGCCTAAATTCATGAGTATAAAACGATGCTACACAGTTAGGCGTGATTGTATTTAATTGCGATCAACTACTTATGCCCATAGCGGACCCCTCGCTCCAGAGTATATACACTAGAACTGAGCCCCACCTCTCTGCCTTTCTCTATTAAACTGTATCTCGCTCATGAGGCAGCTATTTGCGCTTAATAAAAGTTTCGCAAACTAAAAAAATGAAGGAAACTAAACCAGACTTGACTTTTTTAAAAGCGTTTGTATTGAGCTTCTCTATCCGTCTCTGCTCCGTTCTGAGTGGAAAGGACAGTAAATACTTTGAAAAAAAACTTGGAGGACGCTTGAACGTCGCAATCAAGACGCGACAACTTCGTCGGACCCTCGCACATCGCCTCGCTTCGGTTCTCGGTGCATGTCTCAACCGTGGCGCAAAGAAACGAACTTTACTGTGTGCCTAACAGTGGCCGGTTCATGATATCCTACAATTCCTACCCCAAGCACATTCGTTATGCACCTGCTACGCCATAATTTTTCTTCTTGCGAATCAGTGGGGCGTACTCTATGCGTTTCCGGAGCCCTCCACCACGGCATCTCTCATAATCATATAGTGGTTTTGGGACGTTAAACCCTGCACATTATTATCGACTAAAAACAAGAAACAAGTTTTCCTCTGTCTGTTTTATTTATAATCTGGTTGCGTTTTTTTTTGTGTGTGTACAACTTCATGCTGTCACATTGCTTTCTCAAGTTCTGTTATCACCCCGTTACACTCGAAGTGATGTTCAGGGTGAACCCCGACTGCAGTGTTCGAGAAGCTTCGGGACTGTAGTAGATTATTTTGTTAAAGTTACGCGCACAACGCGAACATTACAGATTATTCTGAAACTTAGGTGACCGCCAGTGATAACGGTGAAAAACTCAATGGCACATGTATAAATGCCGATGCGCTTCGCCGCTTGTCAGTTGTCGACAGAAGACACTCAGTTCGCCGCTCTCAGTGCCAGTGTGTATCAATGTAATCATATTTTAGATGCGGAAGCATCTTATACTCGGGCCTTGTAGTGCGCCGTCCGCGCCGTCCGCACCGCTTCTCGAACATTCGACAGCTGACGCGCGCGCATGCGCCGTCGCGCCGTCGCCCACTCTTCCACCATCTGTGCATCCCTTCCTCCTCTACACACCGCGCGCGCTTCACTCCTCCACCATCTGTGCACCCTTCCTCCTCTACACACCGCGTTCGACATCTACAATTCTCCTGATTCTCCAGTGGACGCGCATGTGGCGTCGCGCTTCGAGAACATTCAACAGCTGACAGTGCATGCGCCGTCGTGCTGTATATATACTCAAGGTCGGCGCTCGCTCGCTCAGTTGCCGCTCGCCGGTTGGTTTGTACGGCGCGTCGACGTCCAAGGTCGCGGTGAAATGAATTCCAACGAATCCACAAACACAATGATCGACGTCCCTTCGACCAGCGCCGCCCTTTCGCATACGTGTGTACGTGTTCACTCATTTAACACCCCCTCCTACAACCACGTTAGCCAATTTAGCCATCGACCCAAGTAAGTCGCAATTTAACACCCCATTTCACAACCACGTTAACCAATTTAGCCATCGACCCAAGTAAGTCGCACTTTAACACCCCGTTAACCAATTATATGCTCCGCATCCTCCTCAGTGTTCCCCCGAGGGAAGCTGCGGGCAATTTTTTTCATTGATCGGCAACTAGTTCGGCCGAATAAACAGTTTGATCTTGGAACTACAGTCTGCCCCCTTCTTCGACGTCAATACCATGTGACAATATTGTCTTTTTATCAGTAAGTTCCAATTATACACGTTACTTTTGTTCTGATTCCAGACTGATTGTTTTTTTTTTAAATTTCGCTTTTGATTCCTGTAATAACTTTGTGTGAAGGCGATGCCTCCTAGGAGGCATTGGTAAGGACTGACAGTATCTGTAAAGGAAAAAAATAAATAAAGGCAACAATGGGAAGAATGTAGAGTACCAAATGTAGTTTGCTGTAGGACAGCTACTCAA